ATTCGGGGTGCCCTGTTGACTATCAAGTCGACCAAGTCGTCAGTCGGAACGATTCCTATAAAGGTACTCTAGCCAACGTAATAATGTTTTTAAATGGACGTATTTGGGGGTCCGAACCCCCCCTTAAAATTAGTTCGAAGTGAATTCTACAATTTTTACTTAAAAGCAAAGACAATTTGGTAAATTTTCCCGTTTTGTTTTTTTCTTTAAGATAATTTGAACCGGAGTTATGATTTTTTGAAAATAGGTCAAATTTGACCTTTGACTTATCATAACTCGGTCAAAAATTAAGATATTGATCTGCGGTTTGTGCCAAAATTCTTAGTATTTTATGCTCTTGCAAATGAAGTATCACAAGATAGGGGTTGCTATTTGAAAAAAAAAAGTTGGGGGGCCCCCGACCCCCCTGAGGGAAGACCAAAATTTTACCCCCCCCCCCAAAGATGGTCCCCTTTGAGATAGGAACATTCTCAAAGTTTCATTTCCCTAGCTTAATTCGTTCAAAAGTTAGCAGGGGTGGGACGGACTTTTGTTACACCCTGTATAGGTGCTCTTACGTCCGGCTCATAAAGCCAACGAACTACACCTCTAGAATGGTTTTGGCTGACCAGCAGTGTTAGAGACCCGTAGAGGTGTCGTCAGCTAAAATAAGTTGACGGTTGTTTATACTTTCGGTTTGCAAGCGCCAACGACGAATTTGATCCTCTGAACAAAGCGGCGTCCGCTACTATCCACATTGAAAACATCAGTCTCATGATCGTATCGTAAAAAAACTTCTTATCAGTTATGATTTGTGACTTTTTTGTGGTTGTGATTTCTGTGTGGCTAAAAATTAAAGTGTTAAAAGGTTTGAAATTATTAAAAAACTTACCTACGCTTGTGTTCTTGCTTCTGAGAGAGTCAGATGTTTTCATGTGGATAGTATTGACGCGAAAACGCCTGCGAACCGAAAGTAAACAACCGTCAACTTAGCTGACGACACCTCTAACGTTTTGAACCAAAGACATAAAGACGGAGCACTAAAAGCAAAAAATGAAGCTTCTAGAGCTTCTTTTCAATCACCTCTACTATTGGCTAGAGGATTGGCGGCGAAATCGGGACAAGTTTGAATTCAAATGTAGGGCGGGAACTAATAAATAAAATTGCGGAAACAAAGTATTTTAGGTTGATTTTTGCCCAAATTCAGGTACACACTCATATTTTATTAACTTTAGGTTAGTTTCGGTCCGTCGTCGACCGACTGATTTCATTTGGAAGTAACGTAGATCTAGAACTGTAACGGCCTGTTTGAACCTGCAGAACCACCATAAGCAGAAGAAAAACTAACTTTATCTGAGATTACTGCCTGTTACCGAGCAAAAGTAGGTGTAATATATTAAGACGCAGACCGAACTTTCTTAATATAATCGTTTAAAGCATTTAAAACACGTTTCGAAGAAGAAATAAGGAAAAATCAAGAGGACAAGTTCAAATCAAATTTCCGTTTGCCGCCATGGATTCCCGCGCTCATTTACACACTCACACAAACGCGCAGCGCCGAACCTAGCTTCACTTTTTCCCCGTGCTTTTAGATACGAGCACTCCGTCTTTATGTCTTTGCGAGTCAAAACCTGGAAACTTCCGGTTTTTGCGTAGGTTAGGTTCCAAGAACACTTAAATCCTTACAGCTTGGTTTGAGGTTATGTGCTATTGTTTTGAACCAAACGATACATCGAACCGTTATCGAATACGGTCTATGCGACCACCATTCTTTATCCGCCTTTATCGGGACTTCGGGAGTTCGAGTTTCCGAGTTTCGGTTTGGAACATCTTCGTATAGGCTTGTGCTTAACGGCTACTTTTCGGGAACGTGATTACTGTTACTGCTACTCAAAAATCACAGTGAAAAGTAGCAGTGATTTTTCACAGGATAACCTAAAAATACCGCCGTCTCCGACACTTCCTTGACTCTGGTCGGATCACATGTGAAAAGTAGCAGGTGGCGGTTATGCTGTGATTTATCACAGGTTAACCTTATCAAACGATCCTTCCCAAATGCTTTCTACATCTTCAAAATTAAAAGTACCACTGATTTTCTACAGCATAAACTCTTTAAATCACTCGTTCTTCTCAATTCCCTTTTTAGTGGTAAAATTGATACTGTAATATTTTATTATCACTGTTCAATCCACAAGTCATAATTTCCGGAACTATCTGTGAATCACAGGTAAAAGTAGCAGTGAGGCCACGGAGTTATTTATCACTGGTTGACATGAAAAAGAGAATTTAACTTTAAAAAACTTCTCGTAGTGATAATCTAGGTGAATATTTTTATAGCTCTCAGTTTTTATCATTATGCCATGTTCTTTAAAGTTAAATTCTCCTTTTTAGGTCAACCATGCAGTGACAGAGCACTCCGTGGGTTCACTATTGGATTCACTGCTACTTTCACCTGTGATTTATCACTGGTTGACGTCACTACCCACAATGCATTGTAATATTCGGAGATTTCACGTGATTGGCTATCCGCCCTATCTAGTCCTATGGTGCTACTCTGCTCTGCCACTGTTATCATGCTGCTCTTTTTAAACTGCTACTGCTCTTTTTGCTTCGTTATCGCAATCGCAGTGTATCCAACTGTGACTATGATTAACCATGTGCAAGCTTATTCGTAAATTTTTTTCGCCGTTTAACACTAAAGTTTTGGTTACTCACTGTTTAACTATCAGCGACTAACTTTTGATGAAAACTGCCCAAAAAAGAGCAGAATAACAGGTGTTCCTCGCCAGTCACAGTGATCGATCACTGCTACTCAAGAATCACAGTGATTTTTACCTGCTACTGCGATCGCGGTCACAAGCCTATCTTCGTAGGTCAGTCGGCCTAAGCTCATCAGCAATCACCTACAATTGCGCTTGCAAGAATGGTGGCAAACCCCGAGGGTGACGATGATTGCTTTTCTGAGAACACTGACTATAAGCAACAATACAGAATTCTGAAAAGGAAGCTGAAATTTCTCATCTATGTAAGTTATGATAATGGACGGTCAATGTAATTTGTCTGGTCTCATTAGTTTTTCGTAACTAAGTACTACTTTGATGATTATTGAAGGTCAGGATTGCCTTCTAATATTTTTCAAGAACAAATGTGGCTTGCTGTCACATCTAGCGTGAAAAGATTTACAGGCTAAGGGACATCAGTTGCCAAAGTTTACACATCAGTTATTACCATTTTCTTAATTACTGGACTGTGTAGAAACTAGGACCCAGTTAGCTGGTACCCGTTTTTAAAATTGTTAAATCTAGGTAGGAGCCTTCAGACCCCCATTGATCAACTTCAGTGATGAAAATTTGAAATGAAAACCCGGGTTGGGCTTTTCATTAAGTACTCCTTGGCACATAGAGTGTGCGTCCAGAGTAACTCGGGAAAGGAGGTGCGTCAATACCCCAGACCATAGGCAGTCCTCCCTGCAGATTTATTATTATTATTATTATTATTATTATTATTATTTTTTTTTTTTTTTTTTTTTTTTTTTTTTTTTTTCCCCACAGGATTTTTCCTGGTATTAAGAGCCCAAGACGAGTCAAAGACTAGAGTCTTGGGTCCTGTTTATGCCCTAACAATTAAGATTTTCAAGAATAGAAAACTAAAAACCAAAAAAGAAATTAGAGAGATGAAAGAGAGGGGACTATTCCATGTTAAGGAAACTCCGAACTATATTGCAGGTGCTGAGAATAACTGACTTCTGCATGGTGTGGAGAAGGTGATCCGGGAGTTTCAGCTCTTTTAGGTGTTTAATTAGGCTCTCCGGTACGACTCCTGTGACGGACATGATAATAGGCCTAATATAGACAATGTCCATGGCCCAAATTCTCTTAATTTCCACAGAGAGAAGCATATATTTTGATATCTTTTCCTCATACTTCGACAACAAATTGTGTCCGTTAGGGATGCTAAAATCCAAGAGCTGCACAACACGCGCCTGTTTATATCTATCAAGATGACGTCAGGTCTATTAGCCATAACCATCCTATCAGTTAGGACTGGGTTGTTCCAATACAGGCGATATCGCTGATTCTCAAGTACAGGTGGCGGATTATACCGATAGTAAGGTTCCGGATTCTCCAACAGATCGCAATTACTTGCCAAGGCTTGATACACTATTTTTCCCATGGTGTCATGACGCTCCGTATATTCCTTCGCCGCAAGCTGAGCACAGGCAGAAGTGATATGATCTATTGTTTCAGGGGTCGCATTACATCTTCTACACTTGTCGCTACCTGTGTTTTCCTTCGTGATATACTTCCTATAGTTCCTCGTACCAATTACCTGATCCTGGATAGCAATTGCGAACCCCTCCGTCTCTGGGTAAAGCTGTCCCTTCGTGAGCCATAGATATGACTTAGCCTGATTCACATGCTCTTGCTGCACCAGGTTGACGTGGCGGCCATGTAGCGGTTTACCTACCCAGTTCTCCAGCTTTCTCGGTAACAAGTCAAACGCCTGCTGCTCTTCAGGGTTATGCGCAGCTATTCGGAGGGGCGTGTAAGACTTATCAACGCGGCATATTGCAACATGTAAAGTACTATCCTCCCTACTTAGAAAGTGATTTCGGAGCATGCAAATCTGACCATGACATGCCTCTCGCAAGTCAAGGATACCTCTTCCACCCTCTCTTCTGGGGATGTTAACCCGCTCAATTGCAGCTTTTGGATGATGCTTGCCCAACTTGGTTAAGGACGTTCTTATGGTCCTGTTCAGACCTTCCAATTCAGTGTCTGACCAAGGGACAATACCAAACGAGTAGGAAAGGGCGGCTATAACGTAAGTGTTAACTGCTTTGGTCATGTTCTTGGAATTTAGTGAGGTATTTAGCACCGCTTTGAGACGACTG